CAAAACAATCTATCAGAGAGCCCAAGGTGGCTAACCCGACGAGGTCACTCTGATTCTTAAGTCAATATGCTGTAAATGCAAGTTGAATGCTTGAGAGCTTGAGTGCTAGAGAGTAGAGTAATCACGCGTACCTTTGCCTTGAGGGTTTTGCCTTTATATACTGGAGTAGTCATGGGTCGCACGAAAAAGCTCCAGGATCTCCGGGGTATGGAGATAAAGTTTGTTTCGCTTTTGAAGGAGCAGCACGTAAATAAGGTTTGTCGTTTCACCTTCGATTCTGGCGGAGCCAGGATGAGTCCTCATCATGATCTTGGAAAAGTCGGGATCTGTTAGCTCATCGTGATGTCGAGTATCTTGGAATCTATTGGAGAGACCTTTGGAGTCGGTTACATGGCGATTCGGTCATTAGCTCCGAGCTAGTACTTCGATTCTTCAGTCTCGAATTGGATTGGATGCCGAGGTGCCTCTACACCGAGGTGAGTTTTGGGCCGAGACGGCTGAATACTTGAGCTCCAAATGTTGCGAACTAGGCTTGCCAGGCTAGACTGTCATACCTTGATCAGATCGCGCCCACGTGTTCCCTTCTCGCTAGGTCGGGCCAAAACACCCTTCATCAGGTTTGATTTTATGCTTTACAAAGTTGATTTATTCAGTTTGGTTTTAACTAAATAAACCGAATGCTCACCCTACCTCCATCAACTAAAGTCCTTTTGAAGTCGTCAATGACCAACTACCAAGGTGTTTGTGCATGTTTGCATGGACTATCAAAGAAGAAAGCCAACGAGCCTTTGCCTTCACTAGCTAGGAGTGGAAGAAGTATATATCTTGACCGCACCAAAGTATCCCTAGAAAAACCCTTAAGGAGAATGAAGAAATGGGTGGATCAGGATAGGCGACCTCCAAGTAGGACACTTGGACCTAGTTAAACTCTACACCCATTGCCATAAAATTTTCTGGAGAGTTCACCCTAGGCTTGTAAGAAAATATGAGGAACATTGTGAAATCATAACCAAAGTAGGTGAATCTACTTATCCGCTCAAACTACCCCTTGGCTTGAAGTCAATTCCATATACCATGTAAGCCAACTTAAGCCTTACCATGCTTTACACCCAAGATGATTCTTGCAATCAGATTCAACATCCACACCAGCTCTCAGATGACCCAAGAATCAAGCCTTTGACTTCATCCTCAACCATAGAATATCCCAATCCTCTAAAACACCTCAATGGAAATATTTGGTGAAGTGGAAAGGGCATGCCGTAGAAGTTAGCTAGGAGCTTGTAGAAGACCTCCTTCCCTTGCACTCAAGCCAAATGAGTGCTTGAATAAGAATCTTCAAGGATAAAGATTGAATTGAACGAGAGAGACCATATAGTTGATTTCATCGATCGCGCCATCATCATGTCATATGAGTGTTGTCGTGTGCGTTTTAGGTAGGGAAATGTATGCATTTTGTATGTGAGGGATTGTCAATTACATTATTATAATTATTAGTAGGATTTTCTTAACATTCTTAAGTCTTAATCCTAAAAGTTTAACATCAAATAGTTAAAAGAGAATTAAAATATAAAGATTAGACATAGGCCCTAACACTACAATGTGTAGGAGGTGATGCAGGATGTTCCCAATTCACGGGTCGCATAGCCCCATGATAGTTAGGTGATATGGCTTCCTTGCCCCACATGCACATCTCTGCATTCGGAAGATGTTCCCAATTCATGGGTGGGAGGTGCCATAGTGTCACGGGGGTAGTTCTACAGTAGAAGAAACCCGTGCGGCATTCAAGCCAATGTAGTCCAGGACAAGCCTTTGTATGCTTGGAGGCTAGGAGTTGCCCGATGAGATGGCTCCACCAAGGTCAGTAGCACTGGATCATGACCTCAAGTCACATGGCCGGGGCTCTTGGCTGGCTCTTGCCGGTCCATGGGAGGCGCCTCTTACGTGCTAAAGGGGGATGACCATGATGTGAGGCGACTGGGCACCGATGTGATGGGTCTCCTATATGCCGATGATGTAGGCACCTGTGTGCCATGATGATAGGCAACTGCTTGGGCCGGAACACACCCGTGCACTATGGGCAACGGGATAGCTCATTCAGCTTGGGCAAGGGGTTGGCATGGTGAAGGGTCATGTTTGAGCCAGGCCCGCATGCCAACCTCCGTTGAGTGTCGGTAGGGCAGTGCCGGTCCATGCACTGTCCCCATGAGCATGTGTGTGCCCATGAGGAACATTGGTAGCCATGTTAGCCATTAACCAGGGCCGCCCCGCAAGGGAAGTTGGTCTAGGAGTGCCAAGGTTAGGCACCCCAGTAGGTCGACCACCCCTCCTCAAAGAGTACGTTAAGCTTTTGGTGGCCTGCTTGAAGAAAACATCAATTCTCTAAAAAATATTACGTGAAAATGATGGTGATGTCCCTTAACGTAAGCCTACCAAGTGTAGGCAAGGCTAAGCCTGTGTCAGACTGTAACAGGCTCCCCCACTCAATCCATTGTCATCCTCGACAATGGCTCTTCTTGTGAATGGGCATCTGTGTCCTGCGCCATCCACTTCTATGCCTGGTCCAGGGCTTGCTTGGCCAATCCGGGTCTTGCCTATGTTGGTGTCCATTTATGGGGATGGAACCATTTCACCATGCCGGCCTGCCTAGACTTCACCCCTTGTGTTGAGGTTACTCAAACCGCGCAATGGCTATGCCGTTGAAATGTGAAAGAAGGGCCCTCGAAGAAATTGTGTGTGATGCTTCGCGGAGGTCCGCCCCATGTATCATCTTTACCTCAAGGCTCGACTGTCTTCTTGGTAGCTTTTCGGTGGTGCTCCTGGACACGCTGTGATAGGTCTACTCCTGCTGTTGAAGATGTGTCCTGGGTACCCTTTCACCATGCTGGCATGTAGACTTCACCTCGCTGTGTGTGGGTTACTCAAACCTAGTCCATGGCTTATGCTCTCTTGGCCCTCGAAACTACACTTCGCCTCGTCGGTTCAGGCTACATCTTCGCTCTGAGGGGGCCCCAATGTGCTGCTGCCTCAAGGAAGTCTGACCGCTTTATGTGCGAGTGGTGGCAACTTTTACCCATGATGTTGCCGAACATGCACTCGCCTTGTGATGAGTTGTTGCTGCTGTGAATGTTCTGCCTGTTGTTGAACTGTGCATGTCCTCCGATGCATTACCGGTGTAGGGCCGCCATGCTCCAACGACTAGTGTACTCACATTCCTATCATTCCAATATTGTGGCTTCAACCAAGGATCCGTTCTGTGCAAAACTGCCACTTCAGTGATATTCTTTGACCAACCATCGACACCAACCAATTTCAGACTGTTGTCCCCGCCTTAGTAGTGCCTCAGACAAAGCTACGAAACAATGGCTCATCTGTCATGAAATCAAGATGTAGGCGCACCGCCCACAACTCACTAAAATGAACAACAATTGATGTCCGTGAGGAAGCATGGCACTCCCCCACTCAAACCACCACAATATGCCTTCCAGGTGATGGCTCATGCGTCTGCCCCCGCATGAGCACAACAACCAATGCGTCTGCCCCCACAAGGGCACTGTTTTAGGGTCATTGGAATGGGGACACGAATGAATGGCCTCTTACCAGGCCTGATGTGCACTACTTGCTTGAACCCGAGTGGAAGTGCCTAGGGACTGCACCCCACGATGTGCTGCTTGTCGGGATGACCGCTTCAACTGGCTCTGGGCTAATCTGCTCTGATACCAATTGCAACAACAATTGGCTAGTTTGCTCTGATACCAACTGTCACGGGGTAGTTCTACAGCGGAAGAAACCCGTGCGGCATCTAGGCCAAGGTAGGCCAGGACAAGCCTTTGTATGTTTGGAGACTAGGAGTTGCCCGATGAGATGGCTCCACCAAGGTCAGTAGCCCTGGATCATGACCTCAAGTCACATGGTCGGGGCTCTCGACTGGATCTTGTCGGTCCATGGGAGGCGCCTCTTATGTGCTAAAGGGGGACGACCATGATGTGAGGCGACTAGGCACTGATGTGATGGGTCTCTTGTATGCCGATGATGTAGGCACCTGTGTGCCATGATGATAGGCAACCGCTTGGACTGGAACACACCCGTGCGCTATGGGCAACGAGATAGCTCATTCAACTTGGGCAAGGGGCTAGCGTGGTGAAGGGTCATGCTTGAGCCAGGCCCGCATGCCAAGCCTCCCTTGAGTGTCGGTAGGGCAGTGCCGGTCCATGCACTGCCCCCATGAGCATGTGTGCGCCCATGTGGAACCCTAGTAGCCATGATAGCTATTAACCAGGGCTGCCCTGTAAGGAAAGTTGGTCTAGGAGTTCCAAGTTTAAGCACCCAAAGAGGTCGACCATCCCTCCTCAAAGAGTATGTTAAGCTTTTGATGGTCTGCCTAAAAATAACATCAATTCTCTCAAAAATCTTAAAATGACGATGATATCCCTTAATGTAAGCCTACCAAGTGTAGATAAGACTAAGCCTGTATCATACCGTAACAGTAGGCTATTAGATAAGATGGTTAGAGGTTGAGATTGACGTGTAAAGTACGATGGATATTGGAAATTTCGCGTTTATGTTTCATATTTATTATTTTATGATTCTCATTTCTGTGAAAGAGTTTTTGTTGGTGCATCAGAATTCAGAAAGATGTTTGAAAAGCGAGCAGGGACGTAAGTGCACTGCACCGCACTCGTGAAAAAGTCGCAGAAACCAGCCGTGAAGTGGTGGAGGATGTGCGACAGGTCATTAGTCATACCATCTGTGCCTGATTGAATATACTCACTCATATTTACGAATATGCCTCCTATTATACAATAGTATGCATACAGACAACAGTCCAAATTGTTGAGGAGGAAAAGGGTAAAAAAAAAAAAAAAGCCACGTCATGTTTTTATGGCCCGTCGCCTCCAGAGCACGTCTTTGCCTTTGGTGTCACTCAAATTAATGAAATGCCATTTATTAATCATATAGGAGCAAACGAACAAACGAACAAACGAAATCTCTTTTCTTTCTCTCTTTCTCTGTTTCTCTCTTTATAATAAAAACAAAAATAGGTAGAACCGTAGAAGTTCTTAAATGAATCCATCCCCTTGTATTCTTAATAATGGACTACCATATATCTGAAATCCCCCCTCCATGCTCCAGCACCAGCAGAATAGAACCAAAACCCTAGAACATGGAAAAGGGAAAACCAACAGGGTGAAAGCTCCGCCGCCCTTTTATTAATGTCTGTTGCTACTGTGAGAGCAACTGCTGCCTTTGTCTCAACGACTCCGACTCTGAATATCCTCCCAACTCCCGTCGTATAACAACCAGCCTTCTTTCCCTTTTGTGTCTTTGAGGTACCGTTCCCTTGCGCTTTGACAAGATTCTCTGCTTCAATCATCACCACAAGGAAAGCAAAGAGGATAATAGTGCTTAATCATACTTTATCGATTACTGATATTGTTTCTTTTTTATATGGGGGCGATTACTGATTTTTGTATCTCTGCTCCTTTTAGATCTGATCTCTGTTTTTTTTTTTCATGATTCTCTCTGCAGCATTGTTTTCGCTTATGTATTATTATCTTTTCATTTGTGATTATTTGTATGCATTCCTTTACTCATGAATATTGTATCATTTATTGATATTTTCTTTTTCGGGATAAAACTTTTATTCGTTTTCATGCGACTTATATGCTGATGGGTCTGTTTCTTGTTCATCTGGGCTCCAGAAATTCTTGTATTCTCTTCTTCTCCTTGATCGTTGAGGAGAGATAGGATTGGTCCTTTTATCAGGATACCCTGTCATGTTTGCGGTTCTTAAACAAATTTCTTATGCTCATCTGTTAAATTGTTTTGATCGGTTTTATATTTCATTCATAATAGTTCTACCTAACTCATGACACGGGTCCCACTCTTCTCTTCTCTCTGTATGACAATGGCAAAGGACACCGCTATATCCAATTTGCCTCATCCTGTTGTTTACCATGGCTGTGGATTGATTTCATACCTTCATTAGAAGGTCCAAAGAGGAATCGCATATACTTCACTTCATGGTTGGATCTGTGGACCTCCTGTTCTTTTTCATTTTAGAAAGTATTGACAAGAATCTTCTTCTGAGAATTAGCCACATAGCCATTTACTTTTCAGGGTGGATTATTTTGATATCTATCTTATGATCACCATTTAATTTGTCTAACTAAGCAATTTTACTGATTTATGGTTGTGGTATAGTTTGCTTCTACTTTGGTGCACTATTTAGAATTAGATGAATTGTGCCATACAAATCCAAATAAGGTAGTACTTATCTATTCGTGCTTACACCACCCCACTCCTCCCCACCACTAAACTAGTAAATAATCCAAACCATAAAGTATTTTTTTAAACCCCTTCATTGTTATTTCACTTAGTGATACAAATATGGAAGCATAGAAAGAAATGGAAGACGAGGTTAAATAGTAGACCTGCATAATGCATCATCTACCAGAAAAGAAGTGATTGTTTGATCAATGAAACCTTGTTTGGTCCGGCTGAAATTTGGTGGCATAAGTACACTTATGGTACTCCATTACTGTAGTGTAGAAATGCAGTTCAGTCCAACATGTAGGAGTGCCCAACTAAAGGCTTTAAGTTGGCTGAATTTTGGGTTCTGTTTCTGCAAGTCATGGTCAAAGTCTTAGTCAACAATTTGACTAGTAGACCATATTATTGTTTAGTATTTTTTAACTTTAATTTATTAGTAAAAGATGACTTATTATTGTTAGTAATTTCTAGTTTCTTATGTGTGGTGGAACTAGAGTTATTGTGCCCTAGTTTCAAAATAGGAGTTAGAGTCTTAGAGTCCAAATAGGAATTGGAAGTGCTATTTTGGGTCTATAAAGGGTGTCAGTAGAGCTTGTAGGGAACGATCCATTCCATTGAATTGAATAATAATTCCATTTATTTCTGTTTCTGCCATAGCCAGCAGCTATAGTAGAATTAGGCTCCGTTTGGCGCATCTTTATGCATGGGCTGAAGCCTGACAGCCCGCGTTTTTGTCTTTTCCCGTTTGGTTGGGAAAAGATCTAGCTGCCAAAAGATGCGGGAAGCCCGTTACGGGCTATTTTCGTGAAGCTCCATTTGGAGCTTTTCGACTTATTTCATCTTGTCTTTGCGCGGAAAGACGCGTCTCCAATCAAACGGACTGTGGGCTGCCAAGATCTTTATGTAAAAGCCTACTACGTCTTTTGGCTGTCAGATCTTCCAGAAGATCTTTCAAAAAAGACTTGCCAAACGGCACCTTTGTTTTTGTTTCCTCTTCTATTTTCTCTTCTTTATTTGCTTGTTAATACTTACGCTAAAGCCTATTGTTGAGTATTGAAAATTTTCTGCTTAACTCCTAATCAAAATGTCGAAGTTTTGATATTTCAGACAAATATATAGTGACGAAATTAAAATGACACTCGATCCATGGATTACTTATCCCTCTCAGGTTTTCTCATGGCTAACAATTTAGAGAGCTTGCCATTATGAAAGAAAGATATTCTTGCTATGATATTGGTGGTAAGGATTTAGGGTCTCATTTGACAACAGCTGAAGTGGCTAAACTTAATGAATTTGTTTTGTCTTGCAGCAAATAATTTATTAAGAAGTTATGAGCTACTTAATGGCTGATGTCAAAATTGGTTGATTGCTATACTCTCAAATGTTTTGTTTAATAATTTATACAATAAAAGGTTAAACAATAAATTATTCAGTTCAGCAACTTCAGTCATTAACAAACAACTCCTTGGACATTCTCCTCATCTGAAACATCTTGCAAAGATGACAATAACAAGTTAATTTCCCTATTTTAGATATAAGTTTCTATTTTCATAAACCTGACGCATCCTTCTGAGTATGATTATTTCTAAACTGCTATAACAGAATGTTTAATATTCAAGCAATGAGTCGAAATTTTGGCATCATTTTGTATTTTGGGAGTATTATGACTTCTTTCTGAGGATCTACAGAAGCATTGTTTTTCATTGCTGTGAAATATTCATTCGCTTGTTCGCTTGTTCAAACAATATCTAAAAGGTCTTTTTTACTCTTCTACAATTATTGCTATTTTGTATTTAATTGTCATGACTGCTATTTGGTTATGTAGAAGCATAACACTTTGTGGAGATTGATGTTAGCCATTTATCCTTCTATTGTTTTTTTTGTGTTTTCTAGTGGTTACAGCTGTTGTATGTACTGCACTATAGTATTTTCTATTATTGTTAATGTTATGCTGCAATTGTCCACTCTATCTAAGCAAAACAAATCTAGAAAGGTCCAAGAGCCAATGCCAAAAAAGGTTTATTATAATATCCCCATAGTTCTCCAGTTCTTTAGTTTCAGGAAGTACCTCTCCTTGGGCAGAAATAACTCTCCAATAAGTAGTCTGGTACTCACCTAGAACTGAATGATTCAACTTTGATTGTCCAGTTTCTTCAATGCTCCATGCTGTGGTCTCAAACTTCCATTCCAACTTGAATGATGAAGAAATCAAAAAAGAAAAGTAAACTTAAGAAATAGCAGAGAAAGAAAGAATAATCACATGAGAAGAAGAGCAGAAAGCGAAAAAAGTGTTGGGTGGCAATTGTGTTGTCAACAGTAACATGGCAAAATGACAGAAGTACCCCTGGGCAACAGAACATAAAGAACAATAAAAAAATACCATAGTGCAGCATACAAGTACAACAGCAGCATGCAGCCAACCACTAGAAAACATAAACATTAGAACAATAAGTTGCTGACATCTATCTTAAAACTCTTTATTTGTTCCTTCAGTAATATCATCAATGTCCCTTAGTAGATGATTTATCAATGTACAGGTTCCAGGCTATGTTTGTAGTGTTACCATTGTTATGCACATTCCAAATTTTAATGTCTTCGATTGATCACAATGTAGCATAATCAGGTCTATATGGGATATGCGTTGGAGATGCATAGGGCTTGTTTATTTACTGCTAATGATATTGTAAATTTCAGATGGAAGAACAAAGTTCCCATCAAAGTCAGATAATTGATATATGTGGTGAGGTGCCTCTTGGAGCTACAAGTGTAGGGGGGAGTAAGATATGTGGTGGTGCACCTTGTGGATTTTCAGATGCCAGTACCAGTTCCAAGGATGCTAAAGAACGGAATGCATCCATGCGGAAGCTTTTGATAGCAGTTGTACTTTGTGTCATCTTCATGAGTGTGGAAGTAGCTGGTGGCATTAAAGCCAACAGTCTTGCAATCTTAACTGATGCAGCTCATCTACTCTCGGATGTTGCAGCTTTTGCTATATCATTATTCTCCTTGTGGGCATCAGGGTGGGAGGCAACTCCACGCCAGTCTTATGGGTTTTTTAGGATTGAAATCTTGGGTGCCCTTGTTTCCATCCAGCTCATATGGCTCCTTACTGGGATACTAGTTTATGAAGCCATCGATAGAATCATCCATGGCACAGGCGAAGTCCATGGCTTCCCGATGTTTGTTGTTGCTGCATTTGGTTTGGTGGTTAATGTGATCATGGCTTTCTTATTGGGTCATGATCATGGCCATGGCCATGGCCATGGCCACAGTGGACATGATAATGGTCATAACCATGGTGATCATGACCACCATGATCATGGCCACAGCCATGGGATTAGCATTATTTCACATAATGCACATGATCATGGTCATGTGCATGAAGTTGAAGAACCCCTGCTTCACAAATCTGCTCATGATGCACGTGAATCAAAAGGAGGAGAATGTCATAAACAGAAGAAACAACGGAATATTAATGTGCAAGGGGCTTATCTCCATGTGCTAGGGGACTCCATCCAGAGTATTGGGGTGATGATCGGAGGTGCAGTAATTTGGCAAAAACCAGAGTGGAAAATAATTGATCTCATATGCACTCTCATATTCTCTGTAATTGTGCTGGGCACAACGATCAAGATGCTGCGAAGCATACTGGAAGTTTTGATGGAGAGCACGCCAAGAGAAATAGATGCAACTATGCTTGAGAAGGGCCTCTGTGAGATGGATGAAGTGGTAGCCATTCATGAACTGCACATATGGGCCATTACTGTTGGAAAGGTCCTCTTAGCCTGCCATGTAAGGATCAAGCCAGAAGCAGATGCAGACATCGTCTTGGACAAGGTGGTAGATTATATAAGGAGGGAGTACAACATCAGCCACGTAACTATACAAATAGAGCGCTAGTGGTAGTATGGAGAAAGGCAGAAAAATTGCAGTAATTAGAAACATTGTTGTCTCAGCAATTGGACATATGTTGTGCTACCTATTGTACTAAGAGTTGCATTCTTTTAATTGCTTTAGAGACTTGGATCGTCTTTATTGAATATATACCCAACATTTATTGGTTTCATACCAGATTGAGCGTGAAAATTTCAAGAATTAGCTCGTTCTTGTAGGACTCCGTGAATATCAAAATAACATTTTGATATGTAATTGGTATTCAGAACGGCCGGCCATGGACATGTATATCCTCCCTTGATGAGCCACGGGATGGGAGGTTAAATGGGATACAACAAAGTGTTGTGCTTTCTTGTTTTGTCCGGTCCATCCCCTCTGTTACTGGTAGGTCTTTGCCCAGGTGATTCTCATCAACAATGTTCATGCTATACTGTGAGATTGGATTAAACGGATCAAGTCGACACAAATTTATATTTTTTTCCTATGTATGTGCGCCTGATTTTCTATTCTACCAAAAAAGAATAAGGCCCTTCGTATCATATCTTTCAAACGTATTCCGCTACATGTTGCCATGTTGGACTTGATTTACGGTTGACCATGTGTTGCGTTGGGCTGTGATGTAGATCTTGTAAATTTGCATTTCAGGTATCCACTTACAAGGTTCAAAATATTGGAGAAAAAGAATAATTCCAGTGCCTGCAAAGGAATCCTTAAGCATAGAGACCTAGTAAGGAAGTGAAAAATGGAATAAGACAAAAATCATAGAAAAAGTCTCAGTAGGTAGAGGACTTCTGCACGGGAGTCAAATTATCAAGCTTTTCGGAGGCTTTAATTCAATCTGCTCATATTTCGGCATATTTTGCTTGTAAAGGCCAAGTGGCCATTAATTATGACTCTACAACTAACTTACATGTACAATTAATTAAAATAAGCTGTCTTTCTCTTTTTGAAAAAGGAAAAATAAATTGTGAAGGGATGAAATCACAAAATATTTGAAATGAAATAATAATAATAAAATTAATAGCAATAAAAATAGTGAAATATAAGTAAAAGACAAATAAAAACAAGTATCACCGAGAACACAAGAGATTTATGTGATTCAATTTTATTGTTTACATTTACAGGAGAAATGGAAATCATTTTTCACTATGAAAAAAAATAAAAAATATAGTATAGGTACCTTGTGGCTTGCAAGCTAAACTTATCCTTAACTCCTATACACATGTTCTCCCTTTTGTCTCTCATTAAGAAAAACAAAAACGAGAGAAAAAAAAAAAAAAAAACACTCTTACACCTTGAACACCCTCTTTTTCTCAACTTCTCTTTATTTTTTTCTCCATCAAGAAAAAAAAACAGATTTATTTCTTTGTATTCTCTCTAAACCCTACATACAAAACAAACCTTTTATATAGAAAACTACCTTAACCTAAGGATGGATTATACCAACCGTTAGATTAAAAAAGAAGTAATCTAGTGGATGACAAATGAGGCACAACTCCAACAATTTTCTATCTTGGCTTACTTTTCAACCACTTTGGAGATCCACCATTTGTGTCTTTATTTGTTCGCAAATAACACAAACATTTATTGGCCTTGAAAACATACCACCAATTATACATTACATGAATGATTGGGTCCTGACCCCACTTGATTTAAACAAAACAGCCAATGCACATGTATAACTACACCCGAACTAATAGTCCTAGTTATCTCCAGACGTGGCCCTCAATTCTTGTTCTTTTTCACTAGGAATAGTCCTCTTATCATCATCTATGCCTTAGAAATTTGTAACATTTGTCTCTGCCCCAACTACAAAAGAGACCCTTAATGTGGCCACACCATTGTATTCCCAATCAGATGATTCAATCCCTTGTGTTTTCCTCCCTTCATTAGGACCATACTGTCATGTGAGACTTTCGTGACCCCACATATAATAGCAAAGACCTTGTAACTCTTGGAATTCAACCAATTAAGTGATATTACATTTTGACACATTTTTGGAACATTTGCCATACCACCCAAAGTGCAAACCACTTCAACGAACATTTTGATTTTCATTATCCCAACCTTGTGATGTCACACATAGATCCATCCCTTAAGGAGACAACACCTGTCTTCTACTATTGAAATTACCTAAATATTCCCTTCTAAAACAAACATGCATATAATACTCAAAATTACTCATACTTTTAGAAATTATGGGAACACTTACAATGGGAATAGTCAACACATTCATTTGGGACACAACATTGTAAAGATAATTCTAAGAAATGGTGTGGTCACACTTGAGTTTATAAGGCCAAATAAGAATCTTGCTGATCTTCTCACCAAGGGAGTAACAAGAAAGATAGTCTTTAAGACATCAAGGGGGATGGGATTGAAGCCCGTGAATTAAGCCTGTAGCAACAACAACCTAACCATTGTAATTGGAGAACCCATGAAGGATTTCAACGGGTAAGAACAAGTCATTGACAAATTAATGGAGCACTGTTATTTTAATACTTTGTTTGCTCATCTCTATGGTGTAAATAGCGCTAGTTGTAATATTAAATACAGGTTGAGTTCTCTTACACTTACATAATAGGTTCACCTATATGAGTGTGGAAATGAGGTCGCTTCCAATGAAAATTTGGGCTGAATTCTCTAGAATGCTTATGAAAATCCAGGTATGCATGGCTATTAAAACATCAAACCAAGAACTAAACATTATAAAGAGGAGGGGATATCCATTGCAGGTGCACTTGCTCCCAAGGATCAAAATTTTGTCACGTATTGGCCTGTATCGGTCGATACGTATCATTGTTCTAGCAAATTTTCGGCATGGTACATGGTACCAAATTGAATGTGTTGTATCTATTCGTCGTATTGAGGTCGTATCGTGCCCGTATCGTTGAGTATCAGTGCGTTTCGGCACTGTATCGGCCGATATGCTATTGTATCCGATACAATACGATTTTACTGTTAGATAGTTTTGTATGCCCTTAGCTTCAATCAGAATGATGTACTTTATGAGTTTATTGTAAATGAATAAAAGTGCATATTTGATTCATGTTCCCTTGGTATGTTTCTGTGTAATACCCTTAAACTGGAAACACAATGAGACTCGTGTTAGTTTAGAATGTTCACAGC